AAAACTGCCTCAAGCCCGAAACCCTAAGCCTTGAACCCTAAACCCTAAACCCTAAACCCGAAACCCGAAACCCTAAACCCTAAACCCTAAACCCGAAGCCCGGCTTAACGCCCCAAAAGCAAGGAAGCTCGTGCTGCTGGGCGAGGACCGCAGCGGGAAAAGCTCGGTTTTGGCCTCCGTGACAGGCCCGGGGGCCACCTCAAAAGGAAAGGGCCTTCTTAGCATTCGAAGGTTTTTTTGGGCCCGAGAACCTAAAAACGCCCAAATCCCCTGAAGCACCCTAAAAATCCACAGAAGCCCTAAAGCCGAAAGCCCCTAAAGCCCCAACAGCCCCAAAAGCCCCAAAACCCTCAAACCCCAAACCCCAAACCGCAAACCCCTTCAAAACCCAAACCCTAAACCCTGAACCTTAAATCCGAAACCTTAAACTCCAAAACCCTAAACCCTAAACCCTAAACCTTAAACCCTAAATCCTAAACCCTAAAGCCAATCCCTAAGCCCTAGTTCGGAGTCCGGGTGGCAGGTGCCGGCTGGGATGCCGACATGCAGTCCACGCACCTGGGCCACGCACACGGGGGTTTAGGGTTTAGGGTTTAGGGTTTAGGGTTTGGGGTTTAGGGTTTAGGGTTTAGTGTCGTCTCCTTTTTTTGGGGGGGCTCAGGGGCTTCGGAGGGGTTTAGGGTTTAGGGTTTCGGGTTTTGGGTTGAGGGTAGCTTGCAAAGGGTTTAGGGCTAGAGCAAAACCCTAAAACTTGAGAAGGCTCCAAAAAGCTTCATAGACAACTGCAAGAACTTATCAACACACAAAAACAGTAGTTCTCAAAATTACGGCACCCTTACAATGAGGACCCAAAAAGGCACCCTAACTTAGAGAGCTATCCACATAGAAGCCGCAACATCCCAACAAATGCCCTAAACCTCCCTTGCCAAAACAGCAAGAGCACGCCGAACAAAAACTCAGAAGCCCTAAAGCTTGGGATGTTCCCCCTTATACTAGCAGTCCTTGATAGGGATTTTAATAAGGGTACTAGAATCCCTATGACGGACTGTTAGTATAGAGGGAACATCCCAACCTATAGCTCAAAAAACGCCCCAACAGGACACTGAAAGCCCAAAGCAGCGAACTCATTCAAACTCTCAGAAACCATAAACGTTTGGGGTTTCGGGTTTAGGGCCTAGGGTTTAGGGTTGAGTGTTTAGGGTACCCTCTGTATGGCTGCGACCTTGGTGTGAGTGTATCGTGCCTCCGAACCATGTTTAGGGTTTAGGGTTTAGGGCAATCTTGCCGCTGCCGTCAAACGCAGCTCGTGCTCCTCGATATCTGTGAGCCAGGTTCCAGGAGACATGCATGCAACTAAGCGCCTTCGCAGGGCGGCGACCCAGCTACAGCATCCAGGCGTCTATTTCTCGAAGACATCTGGTGTCGACTTGCGACTAGCGAGCTTCGGATCTTTGGGCAGCGCTGGGGACTGAGCTGGAGAAATCAAAGGTGCTTGCCAGCTCGGATGGTGACTTCCAGAGGAGAGTCAGACATCAGAGCCCAGCTTCGAGGAACCCTAGAGCTGGCGGCAGAGGCTGCAGGGAGTCTTTGACGCGTGGCGCAGGAAGCCCGGGTTTTGGCATGGAATGCAGTGGCGTCGCTCGGCCACCGGTGTTCCAGCAGCTCAGGAGCAGTGTGTGGTCGAATCAAGCAGCGGTTTGGCAGCCAGGGCCTTGCATTGATGTGGTTGTGGGCGGCACGGGTCGATCTTCTTCAGGAGCGCTGCAGGTGCTGCTCGTCGCTGCCTCGGTGTTAGGCTGGCAAATTGGGCAAACACGTGCCTCGTATCGCAGTGGCGGGAGCACAGGTGGTAGTAGACGATTGCGACGCCGCGTTGGCTGGTAGTGACATCTTTTCAAGTGGCAGTTCCAGACCATGACCCTGCCACGATGGTTGCAGTGCAAGAGGTGGGCGCACGGCGCGCGAGCGTGCAAAGGAGTGTGCGCTTGCAGCCGCGCTGGCGTCTTGTTCCAAGATGAGACGCAGCAGCATGGCGGTCAGGCAGATCTGGCCAATCTTCCCTCAATCGCGATCATCGTCGTCCAGGCGGCGCGCCTGGTGAGTCCTTTCGCCCCTGCGGCACAACGTCCGTAGATGTCCTCCACCGGGGCACGCGTTCTCAGCTCCACGCGGTGAGGTGTTGCGCTCCAAGCGCGATGATGAGTCATCTTTTGTCGAAGCTCGGAGCTGTTCAAAACTGCTGCCTGTTGAAAAAAAGTGAGCCTTTTGTGCGCAGGCGGCTCGGTAGGGACATCACGTGTTTTGCTGTGCGTATTGGGTGTATGTTGCATGTTCTCCAGTGAGATCCTCTGCTGATGGCTTGCTGCGTTTTCGTCAGTTCATGCTGGAGCCTGAAGGGAGGCCAGCTCCAGCATCGGCAGGAGCTCCAGCTTGTTTTCCCAACCCACCCCCAGTTAACTGGGAAATGGAAAGGGACCTTAACTTCTAAACAACCCAGGCACGGCGTATCGGCCTCCCGCTTCAAGCTGAGCCGGGCGGGCTGGACGGAGCAGGCCGGGGGGCTTTAGGGTTTAGGGTTTAGGCGTTAGGCTAATGCCCTACACCCCTGAACCCCAAAAACCCGACCCCAAACCCTCAAAACTCTGAAGTCCCAGAAGCCGTGCGATTTCTCAAGGCCCACGAATGTGCCGTAAGCGCCTGGTCCTAAAACCCTGAAAAGCTCCCGAAGTCCTAAAGCCCCAAAGCCCACAAAACCTAAACCGTAACCTCCCCCAAACCCTAAACTTCCCTAAGCCCCCCAAACACCCTAAACCTTAAATAGACCCCTGAACTTCCTGAAACCCTAAACCCCCAACATACCCCCAAAAGACCCCTCAAACAAAAGCGGCCCTCCGCGCCAAAGAAGGGGACCCCAAACCCTAAACCCTAAACCCTAAACCCTAAACCCTAAACCCTAAACCCTAAACCCTAAACCCTAACCCCAAACCCGAAACCCTAAACCCTAAACCCTAAACCCTAAACCCTAAACCCTAAACCCGGTGCAGGCTGGGGGCCTCACCGCCTCGGAGGTGGCCGCCAACGCCACGGCCCTGCTGCTCCGCGAGCAGTCCAAGGCTGAAGAGACAGGAGAGCGCACCCCAGTCGCTTGGTTTCGGGTTTAGGGTTTAGGGTTTGGGGTTTAGGGTTTAGGGTTTGGGGTTTGGGGTTTAGGGTTTCGGTTTCAGGGTTTAGGGTTTAGGGTTTAGTCCAAGGCTGAGGAGACCGGAGAGCGCCCCGGGGTTTGATTGCTTTTGTTCGTAGTTTTTGTGTGGGAGGTCAGAGTTTTCTGTTAAAGGGCTGTCAGGGGTTTTAATTTTTTGTCCTTAGATTTCTTAGGTTTTTCTTGGGGGGCTTGGGGTGCTTTAGGGTTTTAAGGGCTTTTGGGTGATCGCGGGTTTGCGTTTTACAGGTTACAGCAGCTTCGAAAGACCCCCAGATCAACCGGGCAGAATACGCCTTCATAACGACAACTTGGGTCGTTATAAGAAGGGTTGCAATCACCATAACCCGTGCTTATAACTACCCATGAACCTCCAAGTGTCCCTTTACCCTAAACCCTAAACCCTAAGCCCTAAACCCTAAACCCTAAACCCTTAACCCGAAACCTTAAACCCACTTATAATTGGCCATGAACCGTCAAGTATCCCTGGACGCCTATGTTCGGGCTCTGCTGTGCTCCTTGTGCATGATGAACCCGCCCCCAAGCACCTCAAACCCTCAACCCACATCCCCTGAACAAGGAACCTCCTACATCCCCTAAACCCCAAACCCCAAACCCTAAACCCCAAACCCCAAACCCCAAACCCCAAACCCCAAACCCCAAACCCTAAACCCTAAACCCTAAGTCCTCAACTCTAAGCCCCAAAACGTGCTCCCGTCGCCTGCCGCTGGGAAAGAGGAGATGAGGAGGCAGCTGACATGAGTGGAGCTAGCGAGGAGGCAGCAGCAACTGCAGCAGGCCCCTCGCTTGGCTATTCTGGGTGTGATCTGGGGGCCTGTTGAAGTAGGAGAACATGTGTAATTCTCTACAATTAGGGCCGCTCTGAGTAGAAGAGTGCCGTATCCTGTAGGGGACCCAAGATGGGAACCCTAATTCAAGGGACCAATCATGTAGGGGCCTTAGCCCTAAATAGGAGCAGGGAAGTCAAGCTCCTGTGGAGAGCCCCCCATTGCCTCACGGTTTCGGGTTCAGGTTAAGAGTAATCCTGAAACCTAATCCCTGAGCACGTAACGTCCGCAAACCTGAAAGCCCTAGCTCCGTAAAGCCTGAAAGCCTTGAATGCTTCTATGTGTGAACTGAATCATTGCCCTTTCTGATAATGATTCGTAAGTTGTTTGTCTTGCACCAAGTGGATATGGATTTCCAATGGTACTGCTCATATGAAGATTTGGATTGCTAATCAAATTAGAATCAAATCGATTTGATGATAGAAACAATTCATGATTATACAACTGGTGGAGTTAATGAAGCCCTGCTTTCAAACCAGGAAAATCCCACAAATTTAAACCCTAACCTCCAAAAAACTTAAACCAAACTTCAGATCCTCAACCCCAAACCCCAAACCCCAAACCTCAAACCTTAAACTCTAGGCCCTAAAACCTTAAACCCTAAACCCTAAACCCAAAACTCTAAACCCTAAACCCTCAACCCGAAGCCCCCCAAATCTTTCGTCGCCAGCCAAGGGCCGAGCCGGCGATCTGCTCCCGGCGGAGGTCCGCGCAAACCTGGGCCGGCAAAGCCGGGGCAGGCATTGGTGGCTGAAAGTCTTTTGAGGGGCTTGGGGGGTGTTTTGGGGGCTGTAAACCGAAAGCCCGAAGTGAGGTTTAGGGTTTAGGGGTTTCGGGTTTAGGGGTTTAGGGGCTTCAGGGTTTATCAGGGTGTAGGGTGTAGGAGTTTAAAGGTTCAGGGGCGTCGCCATGGGCTTTGTTTTCGATTCCCCTGACAGAAGCGGGAGCGGAAGATGTCCGTGCTGGACACCTTTGAGGCTTCCGACCTGCCCCTGGATGCTATTGCTCTGGCCCTACAGGGAGACCCTGACGAAGTCCGCGTGCTGGTGAAGGATACGGCCGGCCAGCCGAGATACTACGGAATGCTTGCAGGCGCGACGCGGATATCTGAAACTGCTCTGCCATTATGTGGAGCCCGTATTCAGCCGGGAGTGCTGCAACAGAAATGTTGCTGCTTGTTGTGCCACTGCTGTTGAAATTGCTGTTCCTTTCCTATTCTGGCTTGTCTGTGAGTCCATTTCTATTTCCATTGCTACTGCTAATGCTACTGCTGCTACTGCTACTGCGAATGCTACGGCTGCTACTAGTGCCACTATTCTATACAACTCTTATTATTGTTGTTATAATTCCTTTTGCGTTCTTTATCACCATTAAAGTTCGTAAATTTACCAGCGTCACTACTTCCGGTTCTCTGGTTTTGAAGGCATCACTGACTACACACTACAGCTGACGGTAACGACGACGACGACGACGACGACGACGACGACGACGACGACGACGACGACGACGACGACGACGACGACGACGACGACGACGACGACGACGACGACGACGGACGACGACGACGACGACGACGACGACGACGACGACGACGACGACGACGACGACGACGACGACGACGACGACGACGACGACGACGACGACGACGACGACGACGACGACGACGACGACGACGACGACGACGACGACGACGACGACGACGACGACGACGACGACGACGACGACGACGACGACGACGACGAGGACGACGACTACCACTAGCACTACCACTGCCACTGCCACTACCACTACCACTACCACTGCCACTGCTACCACTACCACTGCCATTGCCACTACCACTATCACGACCTCTACCACTACCACTATCACGACCTCCACCACCACCACCACCAGCACCACCAGCACCACCAGCCACCACCACCACCACCACCACCCACCCACCACCACCACCACCACCACCACCACCACCACCACCACCACACCACCAGCACCACCACCACCACCAGCACCACCAGCACCACCAGCACCACCAGCACCACCACCACCACCACCACCACCACACCACCCACCACCACCAGCACCACCACCACCACAACCACCACACCAAGCACCGCACCAGCACCAGCACACCCACCACCACCACCACCACCACCACCACCACCACCACCACCACCACCACCACCACCACCACCACCACCACCACCACCACCACCACCACCACCACCACCACTTCCACTTGCACTGCTTCCACTACTTCCACTACTACGACTCCTATGATGACGACGACGACTGTCATGACTGCTACTGTTGTTACGGCTGCTCTTGTAGCTACACAAGAAAAAGGTCCTTGCACCTATGGTCACCCTCAAAAGGACACCCTGAAACCCTGAAACCTTAAACCCCAAACCCGCCGAAATGATCGGGGCGTCGGCTCTTCGGGGGAACCCTGGCAGGTGCCCTCTCCAAGATTAGCATGCCGATCATCGTCTTCAGCCTCGTTCGCTGGGCCAGGTGCATCCTCTCTGTAGGATCTTTAGGGCCGCTTAGAGCCCCTGAAGTTCAGGCCCGAAACCCCAAGCTTTGAAACCCTACACCCACTTCGCCGGAGCTTCAAATTCCGAAGCCTAGACCCCAGGTATGTGCTGAAAGACCCGGCCTTCAAAGACTGCTCGCTGCACATGAGCCTGAACATGGCGAGGTCGAAGGGAGACAAGGCCAGGCCGGCTTCTGTTGAAGTTATGAAGTGCTCAGGTTTAGGGTTTCGGGTTTAGGGCCAGGAACAGTCTTGAAGTGTCGAGGAGCTTCGAGAAGTTTCGTGGAAAGTGCCGAGGAAGGTTTCGAGAAGGGGCTTGGGGTTGAGGGATGCTGGCGACCATAGTCTTCGTGGTTTTGTGGCGGGTGGGGGGAAGGGGGATGGTTGACCAGATGGTTTTTTGAGGTTTCGAGGGTCAAAGTTTAGGGTTTGGGGTTCACTCTCAAGCCCGACGGCCCTGTCGCAGGATGAGGAGTCCACCCTGGGCGAGGAGGAGCGGCTCTTTCGATACTGGCTCAGCATGGCCACTCCGTCCGGTGGGCTTGAGTTTTGGGGTTTAGGGTTTGGTGTTCTGGGGTTTTTGCGAGGATCATTGACTGTTCCTCCCATGACCCCAACCCCGACCCCAAACTCGACACCTAAAGCCCGAAACCCTAAACCCTGACACCTAAGCCCTGCACCCACACCCCGAAGCCCCTGTTTTAAAATCTTAACTTCCAAGCCCTCTTTCTTGGAAGGCTGCAGGCTGGAGGTTGTTTATTTTTTTCTGCGTGGTTGGGGTTTAGGGATTCGGGTAGGCCCTAGATGGGCCATGGACATGGAATCTTCTTTGTGGACCCCTCCATATTTCCGGGTTTCGGGTTTCGGGTTTAGGGGGCCCTTCTCCCCCCTCTCACCCCCAGAATGAGGTCAAGACACGCACGGATGAGGGCAGCATGGGCATCATCGTGGGCACGCATCTTGACGAGGTGTGCAGGATACTGGAGGCCCGTCCTCCCCAGCATGGCAATGCAAAGCCAAAGGCTGAAGCCCTGAAGCCCAACACTCCCAGCAAGTCAGGTTGCCTTCCTATAACCCTTACCCTTAAAATTATTAAAATAGAGTAGAATCCCCGTCAAAAAGGAGGAAGCAGCAGTGCAGTCCTTTCTGGAGCGGATGGCCGAGAAGATCAAGAGCTTCTTGAAGCCGTTGGGATTACAGAACGTCTTCTTCGCCTGCCAGGTCTGGGTTGAAAATGTGGAGTGCATTCTGGTATATTAGAGATTATGAGAGTATACTCGAGTCTATTAGAGCACATAGGTATGAAAAAGATATCCGAGAGTTTTAGAGTACATCTCAGTCGAAGGAGTCTACCCCGGCATGCCCTAAACCCTTGCCTTTGCCTTTTGCCTTCTTGCCTTCTGAGGAGCGATCCTTGTGCTTCTTTCCGGTGGACAACAGCAAGTCCCTGAGGAAGCACGGGGTGGACCAGCTGCAGCAGGCCATCCGGGACATGGTGCAGGACTCACAGAGCAACGGGCCTCACAAACAGCCGCGGCCCCTCCTCTACGTCGCTGGGGCTTGCTTAAGGAACCGCAAGATAGCAACCCTCCCAAGAAAGGTACTTGCAATTGCACTGATTATAGTAAAACTCCCTAGAAGCTACTTGCAATTTCACACACATATATATATAGATGTATTGTATTATCTGTCTATCTATCTATCTATTATTTTTCGGGGGTTCCCTAAGGTCAAGCTGCTGGACATGCTGCGGGCTGACGGACAGCCGCCATACCTGAAAGTCAAGCAGGCACCGCATGTCGAAGGGTTGTAGGGTTTCAGGGTTCTACGGTTCTAGGGTTTCAGGGTTTTAGGGTTTTGCGGTTTAGGGTCTAGGGTTGTATGGGTTTGGGGTTCTAGGTTTAGGGCCCAGTGTTTAGGGGCTAGTGTTTAGGGTGAGTCAGACTGAGACCGCAGGTGTCTAGTTGAGGGGCGGCCGAAATCTGAACAAAACGAGCACTCCAAGACCACCCCCTAAAGCCCATAAAGATGACCCCCGAAACCCTAAACCCTAAACCCTAAACCCTACATCCTAAACCCTAAACCCTAAACCCTAAACCCTAAACCCTGAACCCTGAACCCAAACCCTAAACCCTGAACCCTAAACCCTGAACCCTAAACCCTAAACCCGAAGCGCACTCCAAAGACCACATCGAGAGCACTCCACGGTTCAACGAAGCCACGTACTTGCACCTCACGCCACCCCCCAACTTCAAAGACCTTGAGTCTCACAAAAAACTCCAAAACCCTAGCTAAAGCCCAAAGCCCCCAAAACCCCAAAGCCCCCAAAACCCCAAAGCCTCAAAGCCCCAAACCCTAAACCCTAAACCCTAAACCCTAAACCCTAAACCCTAAACCCTAAACCCCTACAACCCTACAACCCTACAACCCTACAACCCTACAACCCTACAACCCTACAACCCTACAACCCTACAACCCTACAAAAGCCTGAAGCCCCGAGTCCTTCGGGAGGTGGCGCAGCTGGCCGCCCATTTCAACCTGGAGGCCGGGAAGCCTCGGGTCTAGGGTTTAGGGCTTACGGTTTCGGGTTTAGGGTTTAGGCTTCAGGGTAGGGTTTATGGTTCAGGGTTTAGGGTTTAGGGGGTCCCCTATAGCCTTAAACCCTAATACCCTACTACCTTAATACCCTCAACCCCTGAACCCAAGTACCCTAGACCCTAAACCCTAAGCCCTAACGGCTAAACCCTAAAACCCAAGTAGCCTTAATCCAAAACCCTAAATCCTAAGCCGTAAACCCTACAACCCCAAAACCTTAATCCCCTAAGCCCTAATACCCTGAATACCCTGGACCCTCAACTCCCCAAGCCTTAAGCCCTAAACCCTAAAGCCCAAAACCGTAAACCCCAAAACCCTAAACCTCTAAACCCTTCAATCTCTGAACCCCCAAAGCCTAAACCCTAAAACCCTAACGCCCAAAAACACTATTTCCCTAATTCCAAAAAGACCTAAAGCCCGAAAACCCAAAACCCTAAAGCCTCAAACCCTGCAACCCTAAACCCTAAACCCCTCATCCCCGAAACCCTTAACCCTAAACCCTACACCCCGAAACCCCGTAACCCCTAACCCTAGGCCCTAAGCCCTAAGCCCTAAACCCTAAGCCCTAAGCCCTAAGCCCTAGACCCTAAACCCTAAACCCTAAATCCTAAGCCCTAAGCCCTAAGCCCTAAGCCCTAAACCCTAAACCCTAAACCCAAACCCCTAAAAGCCCTTCTCAAGGCCAGCGAAGGGGAGGTGCGCGAGGCGCTAGCCTTCCTCCACGAGCTGGGGGAGGCCGGGCCTCGCGTTCTTAGTTTAGGGTTGATTGTTTAGGGGTTTAGGGTTTAGGGGTTTAGGGGTTTAGGGGTTTAGGGGTTTAGGGGTTTAGGGGTTTAGGGTTTAGGGGTTTAGGGTTTAGGATTAGTCTTAGGGTTGATGGTTTGGGGGTTTAGGGGTTTAGGGGTTTAGGGTTTAGGGTTTAGGGTTAGTCTTAGGGTTTATGGTCTGGGGGTTTAGGGGTTTAGTGTTTATGGTTCAGGTTTTGAGAGGGGACTGTTGTGAGGCGGAGTTTTTCTGAATGTGATGCAGTGTTTTGGATGAAGTTGATTTTGTTGCGAGTGCAAAGCAGATGTACGAGGGTTTAGGGTTATAACGCCGACGGTATAAATGCCCTGACCTTAGGTGCATCAGGTTTAGACATTAAAACCTTTAAGCCTTATAAGGCTTTTAAAGGTTGAATTAAATTCAGGTTTGGGCATTCAACCTAGGTTAAACCTTAAACCCTATAGTGCAGCCCTACAGGGTTTAAACCCTATAAGAGGTTAAAGGTTTAGAGTTTAAGGTTTAGGGCATTGCAAAAACGTAACCCTCAGGGATTTAATCACTTTACTGTTTTCCTTAAGCCTGAAAGCATATAGTGTTTGGGTTTAGGGTTATAACGCTAAACTCTATAGGATAAGAACCTTGTAACCCTATATGGGGTTGTATAAAAACCCCGAGTTAAATCTATTCATCCTGCAAGCTTAGTACTGGAACCGACGTTCCCGTGAGCCGGTTGGGTTTTCGTTGATTTGTAGTACAAGCTTAGTACTGGAACCGACGTTCCCGTGAGCCGATTGGGTTTTCGTTGATTTGTAGTACAAGCTTAGTACTGGAACGGACGTGCCCCTGAGCAGGCTGGGTTTTCATTGATTTGTTGTACTTAGTACTGAAACCGGCTAGGTTTCCGTTGATTTGTAGTGCAAGCTGAGCAGGCTGGGTTTTCAATGTTTTCATGTATTTGTAGTACAAGCTTATCACTGGAATAGCGCCTTCCCGCCCTGTTACTACAAAGTTATCGGTTTATTTTCTTGATTATCGTTTTACGAGTCAGAAGCACGGCCCAAACGCTTCGGGCAATTCCTTTCAAAATCGACTGCGCGGGGTTTTGATACAACCCCATATTGTAGGCCTTGAGACTTAAACCCTACTGTTTACCTTAAGCTTTACAGGAGATAGGGTTTAGGGTTATAAAGCTGAAGGTATAAATGCCCACACCTTAGGTACATCAGGTTTAGGCATTAAAACATTTAAGCCCTATAAGGTTTTTAAAGGTTTAACCCTATAGGATTTAAACCCTGTAAGAGGTTAAAGGTTTAGAGTTTAAGGTTTAGGGCATTGCAAAAACGTAACCTTAGACCCTCAGGGATTTAATCATTTTCCTGTTTTCCTTAAGCCTTAATTAAAGCATATAAGCTTTAGGGTTACAACGCTAAACTCTATAGGATTAGAACCTTATAACCTTATATTATAGGCCTTGAGGCTTAAATCCTACTGTTTTCCTTAAGCCTTACAGCATAAAGGGTTTAGGGTTCTAATGCTGAATGTATAAATGCCCAGACCTTAAATACATCAGGTTTAGGCATTAAAGCCTTTAAGCCCTATAAGGTTTTCAGACGTTTAAGGCCTGGGGATTTAAATTTAAGTTTGGGCATTCAAACTAGGTTAAGCCTTAAACCCTATAGGGCCCCTTTCGGGTCAGGGTTTATCTACCCTACCGGGTTAGCCCTTTAGGGTTTAAACCCTATAAGAGGTTAAAGGTTTAGAGTTTAAGGTTTAGGGCATTGCAAAAACGTAACCCTAGTCCCTCAGTGATTTAACCACTTTACTGTTTTCCTTAAGCCTTAAAGCATATAGGGTTTAGGGTCATAACGCTAAACTCTATAGGATTTTTAACCTTATAACCCTACATTATTAGCACCCACATCATCAAGACATGTCCTGTAGGCCCCGGGGACGCGAGAATACTATGAGCAGATATCCTTTTACTCGCACATGTGACATCGCAACCTTCAGATATAGCGCTGGAACCAAGGTGAGATTGGATATCGTTTTGTGAAGCAGTTGTGGCTGTGACATCCATGTTTCGAAACAGGGGCTGTGTTTCGAAACAAAGGCTGTGTTTCGAAAGCAGGGAACTTCCGAATAACAGGTCTGGAAATACGTGAAAGCAAACCAACTGTGGCACAGCTACGGCTGTTACGCTTGAGGGGGGGGGGGAGGGGGAGGAGGAGGGGGGGTGGGGGGGGGGGGGGGGGGGGGGGGCAGGGGGGTATCTGCAAATGATGCCGGCCAACTTCCAAGGACCCCCCCTCCCCCCCCCCCCCCCCCCCCCCCCCCCATCCTCCCCCCCCCCCCCCCCAAATCATGTATGCCAAACATCATGGTCAAGATTCCCACTTATGAATGGACTGTTGTGAGGCCATAAGTTTAAAGTTGTAAGCGTTTACTAACCCCTAAACCTTATTAAAAGACTGAAAACTACCCAACAACTCCGCCTCACAACAGTCCTTTCTGCAGGTTTTTGGGGGTTTGGGGGTTTAGGCTGTGGGTTTTTGGGGGTTTGGGGCGTTTGTGTTTTTAAAGAGAATTTTCGGGTTTAGGTTTGGGTTCTTTGGGGGTTTTAAGGTCAGGGTTGGGTTGATGCACATGGTCATGGGGATGCAGTCGCCCTAAACCTCGGTAGGGGTTTGGCGTGGGTCGAAGGGCTTTGGGTGGGGCCTGAACCCTAAACCCTAAACCCTAAACCCTAAACCCTAAACCCTAAACCCTAAACCCAAGACCCTAAACCCTAAACCCTAAACCCTAAACCCGAAACCCTACACCCTAAACCCTAAACCCGGCTTTGGGTTCAGGGCTGTCATACATACACGACAAACCTCAGAATCTGGGGCCAGTGTGTAGTCTGAAACTCCAAGAGAGCCCAATGAACCCTTGATCAAGGAAGCTGCCGTAGCCCTAAACCCTAAACCCTAAATCCTAAACCCTAAACTCTAAACCCCATACTTAACCCTAAACCCTAAACCCGAAACCATGCCCCCGGGCAGTTCAAGGTCTGTTCTCTAACAAGGGGGACTGGGATCACACCAAGTAGGGAATGAGGGGCTGTAGAAAATCCCTTAAAGGGTTTAGGGTTTTGGGGTTTAGGGTGTAGGGTGATATGCATGGGGGGGATCCATAAGGCATTCCCTACTAAGAGCCCTTAAGAGACACTTGAGGTATTGCCGAGCCCTTTCAGAGTCCAGCCTTTGGGTTTTTCATCAGAGCCTCCTTGGTGCGACTTACCGGGGACTTAGAAGCAGAATTTTGGAAGCCTCGAAAAGGGGGGTTCAGGGTTCAGGGTCTCGGGTGAAACCCTCAAGCCCTAGACCCCTGTGGAACTTCCACCCCCAAACTCTTCTTCGTGGCCGTGTGCGAGAGGCGTGGACAAGGTCGAAGGTTTTAGGTGGCTTTAGGGATGTGTTCTTCCGTGGCTACCTAAACCGTAAATCCTGAACTGAACCCTACACCCAACCACTCCGCGTTGGGGGAGTACTGCAGATTTGGGATTTGGTGTGAGGTCCAGTTCTTCGCCGACGCTGCGGGCCTGGCGTCGGAAGGCAAGTCGGACAGCTTCCGCTTGAGGTTTAGTTAGGGTTTGGGTTTTAGGGTTTAGGTTTAGGGTTTAGGGTTTAGGGTTTGCTGTAGGGTTTAGGGTTTAGGGGTTTAGGGTTTAGGGTTCAGGGTTAAGCGTTCAGGGAACGAACCAGCAAGCCAAGGTTAGCAGATGAAAATTTTAGAGCTTCGTTGTGGGCAGATCCACAGCCCTCAGCCCTTAGCCCAAGCCCGAAACCCGAATGCCCCTGACCCCAACCCAGAGAGCCCAATGCCCCTTAAATAAGGAATATACCTTAAATCATATTAAGGATCCCTATATGATGTAAGGTATATTCCTTATTCAAGGGGTATTGGGCTCTTTGGGAAGCTCAAGCCCTAAACATCAAACTCAATGGGGGCTTCCGAAATTAGGGGTACCTTCTTGGGTCCATTTCTTTTCTCAGCAAGGGAATCCGACTATTTGGTGGTCTATATTAGGGTCCCTCATTATTCTAAAACCCCCATATCTGCAAGGGTTTTAGGGCTTAGTTGGATTTCTGGGTGTATGAGGGGCTTTCAAATTTTGGGTTGCCAGGTTTGTTAGTGCGTTCGGAGGCGTTTTTGAGGATTAAGTCCTTAGCCCTCTTGAATTCCTAACTCCCCCAAACCCAAACAACCCCCACACCTTTTTTTCCCAAACCCACCCTCAAACCTAGCCCTAAGCCCTAAACCTTACACCCTAAACCCTAGACCCCTGAACCCTAAACTCTACACCCTAAACCCTGAACTCCTGTTCCCTAAACCCTAAACCTCCAGACCCTCAAAAAGGCGTCTTCACCGATCCGGAGCTCCTCGCGCTGGCCCAGGCAGGAGCCCAGAGACACCAGCATCCCTCAATCAGGGTTTAGGGGTTTAGGGTTTAGGGGTTTAGGGTTTAGGGTTTCGGGTTTAGGGTTTAGGGGTTTAGGTGTTAGGGGGTTTAAGGGCTTAGGGCTTTAGGGGCTTAGGGGCTTCGGGGTTTTAAGGGTTTAGGGGGTTTAGGGGTTTTAGGGGGTTTAGGGGTTTAGGGGTTTCGGGGTTTGGGGGTTTAGGGGTTTGGGGGGTTTGGGGGTGTATGTGTTTAGGAGCTTAGGGGGTTTAGGGTTTCGGGTTTTAGGGTAGGGGCAGGGGTTTAGGGTTGAGGGCTTTAGGTGTTTAGGTGTTTAGGTGTTTGGGGGTTCAGGGTTTTAGGGTTTAATGGGTTCGATAAACCACACGCTCATTCTTGTCGAGGATTTTCGCTCACACGCCTCTTCATACTTAAGCACCAGCCAGCCTGGGGGTTTAGGCTCGGATGTGGCTGTAGGGTTTGAGGTTTTTGAGGCTGCAGAAGTGCCACAAGCATTGGGCTTCCGTGAGCGGCTCCCGCGTGTTTTCAACTCTCCAAACTAAACCCTAAACCCTAAACCCTAAACCCGAAACCCGAAACCCTAAACCCTAAACTACTAGCTCTTCCCACCTAACGGGCCTCTTTGGCTTCCTTGCCGAGTACCTGGTCTTGGTCTGGTGGGGGGTGTCTGAGTGGCTGGTGGTCTCACCTCCGGACGATGGTATCGTCCCGCTTGCGATTCCAGAAAAACACACCCCAAAACCTAAAACTCCTGAAGCCCCTGAAACCCCTGAAGCCCCTGAAACCCCTGAAGCCCTAAACCCTAAACCCTAAACCCTAAACCCTAAATCGCCAGGCCAACATACTGGACTGCCCACGCGTGCTGGCGAAGATGACGGAGCAGGCTGCTGCTTGGGTTGCTTTTCAAGAGCCATGTTCGGATCCTAAGCCCCAAGCCCTGAGCTCAGCTCCTAAACTCTGAGCCCCCTCTGAAACCCCAAGCCCCCAAACCCAAAACTCCCGAAACCCTGAAACCCTAAGGCCCCTAAACCCTAAACCCTAAACCCTAAACCCTAAACCCCAAACCCCAAACCCCTAAACCCTACATCAGCCAAGGATCTGTTGCACGAGTCGGCCATCCTCAGCCGCGAGCTGCTGCCAGAGCTTTGGAAGAACATACTGAAGCTGGAGGCTCCCAAAGCTCAACCCAGGACACGAGGGTTCAGGGTTTAGGGTTTAGGGTTTTGGGGTTCGGGGGTTCGGGCGTTCGGGGGTTCGGGGTTTGGGGTTGAGGGTTTGGGGTTTTGGGTTTAGGTTTTGGGATTGGGGGTGTTGAGGGTTGTTTAGGACGAGGCCAAGTGGGACGAGGGTTCAGGGTTTAAGGTTCAGGTTAAGAGGGCCTCGGGTTCAAGGGCTTCGGGCTTCACATCTCAAGGTCCTCCCAGCATCTTTGGAGTCTGGGCCGCAGAAATCTGGAGGGCGTGTACCCCAAAATCCTAAATCTCCTTAAATCCTGTACCCTAAACCCTAAACCCTAAACCCTAAACCCTAAACCCTAAACCCCAAACCCCGAACCCCAAGCCCTAAACCCCAAACCCTACCCCCCTCGCAGAGCTCCCGAAGCCACAAACCCTCAATCCCATTTTGAAGCCAATGAAGGAGCAAGCACGAGCCCACGGACTTCAAGGAGGTGCTTCTGGACTTCCTGAAAGCCGACTGCTTCCTTCTTCCCCTGAGGCACCACCCAGTTGAGGGCTCAGGGGACTCCAACTACAAACCCCAAACCCTAATACTTCCTAAACCCTAAACCCGAAACCCTAAACCCTCAACCCCAAACCCCAAACCCCAAACCCCAAACCCCAAACCCCAAACCCCAAACCCTAAACCCTAAAACCTAATCCCCAAACCCTCAACCCTACCCTAAACCTCCCTGGCTGGCCTGCAGGGAGGGGCAGTTCATGGTGCCCAGCCTCCTGCAGCGCTGGACCCCGCAACTCGAGGAGGCGCCCGAGGACATCGCGGACCTGGCGGCCGAGGAGCCGTTTCAAGGGGTTTAGGGTTAGGGGTTAGGGTTTCGGGTTTAGGGGTTTAGGCTTTAGGGTTTAGGGTTTGGGGTTTGGGGTTTGGGGTTTGGGGTTTTGGGTTTTGGGTGTAAGGTTTAGGGTTTGGGGTTTAGGGTTTGGTTTAGTTTAGGGTTTGGGGGCTAGGGCATAGGGCTTCAGGCTATTTTCCTAAACCCTAAGCCCTAAACATGGGGTCTCAAAGCTGTTAAAGGGTTCCAGGGCCCTAAACCCTAAACCCTCAACCCTCAACCCTAAACCCTAAACCCTAAACCCTAAACCCTAAACCCTAAACCCTAAACCCTAAACCCTAAACCCTAAACCCTAAACCCTAAACCCTAAACCCTAAACCTTCCCCAGCAGGTGCCCTTGGAGGACGGGGTCGCCATGGACTTGGGAGGCCTCTCGGTGGCTCGGCAAAAATCTGGACCCCAAACCTTCAGACCCCAAACCCCTAAACCCCTAAACCCTTAAACCCTAAGCTCGACACCTTGAAGCGTAAACCCTAAACCCTAAACCCTAAACCCTGACCCCTAAACCCTAAACCCTAAACCCTAAACCCTAAACCTTAAACCCGAAACTTAGGGTTTGGGGTTTTGGGGTTGTGGGGGGTGAGGTTTAGGGTTAGGGGCTTGGGGTGAGCTTGAGAAGGCAGCGCCTCTCAAGCCGCGGTGCAGGTCCCGGACCTCTTTCCCCAAATCCTCGCGAAGCTCATGGGCAAACGGGAGATGGAGGCCTTGCAAGCCTGAAACCCCAAACCTCGAAGCCCCTAGACCCCCTCTAAACCCTAAACCCTAAACCCTAAACCCTAAACCCTAAACCCTAAACCCTAAGCCCTAAACCCTAAACCCTAAACCCGGAGCCCTAAACCCTAAACCCACCTCATGGCCAGTAACCCTAAAGCTCCAAGATGGAGGCCTTGCAAGACAGCTGGGACTCTGCCTCGTTGTACCGCAACGCCTTGCAGATCCTTGGTATGTTTTGGAGGAAGTACACAGCTCTATGGGCCATATATACCACCATATCACCATGTCTAACTTTAACATAACCCTATGCAACCCTGACTCTAAACCCCAAACCCCAAACCTCAAAACCCCAAACCCCAAACCCTAAAACCCCAAACCCTAAGCCCTAAAACTGTAAACGCTAAAGCCTGCACCCTAAACCCAAAACCCAAAACCCTAAACCCTAAACCCCTAAAACCCTAAATCCCCAAACCCACCCTAGGATCGATCTGCCCGCCTGCACGCTTATCGCCTTGGAAGCTCCGGTGGATGCTCGGCTCAGGTTTTTCAGGGCTTTTGTGGTCTCGCCCGACATGATTCAAGCCCTAAACCCTAAACCCTCTTATACACCCCCGAGCTCCTAAGCTCCTACACCCCTGAGCTTCAAGCACACACGCACACCGCCAACAAGCGCCCAGCGGCCGGGGAAGGAGAAGCCCGAAAGGGTGGTGCTGCGCATTCGCGACTTCGAGGCCACGGAGTGGTTCGACTCCCCTGCGAAGTGCCTGATGGTCTTGGTGGCTCGGGGATGCCCATTGGTACCGCTTTTTTTTTTTTTTTAATTCGCACTTTCTGCTACTAAGCCTCATACGAGGTACGTGCTAGCGTACCTTGTGTCAGGCAAACCCTTGTGGCACCGGGTCCTCTGAACTTTCAAGAAGCCCCAATTGAGCATTTAGGGTTTAGGGTTGAAATCCTAAACCCTAAACCCTAAACCCTAAACCCTAAACCCTAAACCCTAAACCCTAAACCCTAAACCCTAAACCTTGAACGCAACTTTCAGGCAGAGATTCTGCACGAAGCGGCCGCCTCGGTGGCCAAGACCTTTGCGCGGCACGTCGTGATCGGCCCCTTGGCCGCGGGGGGTTTAGGGTTTAGGGTTTAGGGTTTAGGGTTTCGGGTTAGGGTTTAGGGCTTTGCGTTTCGTATCTTTTATGTTTTTCTTCTTGTTTTTAGGGTTTCCAGTTCAAGGTTTCGGGTTCCGGTTTAGGGCTTAGGGTTGAGGACGCACTTCTGTAGGAGTGGCCGGCCCCCTGACGCGGTTATGCATTCAAGTTGAGATCGCCTGGCAGGACCCATGTTGCAGGCGAACGGGGTCCATGTCGTTCCCTTGCAGGCGCCTGGGAGGGTGCCTGGAAGAACCCAAGAAACCCCAAAAAACCACAAAACAGCCCAACACCTCAAACCCCTGAAACCCCAAAGCCTTCAACCATAAAATCCTAAACCCTAACAATCCCCGGAGATCCCTAACCCCGATCACCAAAGCCTTCAACCCTATAAACCTCTGAGCCCTGTGTGGCCCCCTTTACGACAAGCGACAAGCCCTGGGGTTTAGGGTTTAGGGTTCGGGGCCTCTGTGGTAGTATTCTTCAGGGCTTTTAGGGCTTCCAGGGATCTCAGGGTTTCAAGGGTTCAGAGGGTTCAGGGTTTTTTTTTGGGTTTACGGGGTTTGTAGGGCTTGTAAATGTTTTCGGTTCTTTTTAGGGCTTGTAGGGTTTTGGGGTTTACAGGGCTCTAAAAGTTACAGGGTTTTAGGTTTTTTTTTTGAGTGGTTTAGGCTGAGAACCCTACGGAATCCCAAAGATGAAGCCGACGTCTTTCGGGATCAGCAAACGAACTCCAAACAACTCCAAAGCCTTAAAGCCCTAAGCCCTGAACCCTAAACCCTAAATAATAGCCCTAAACCCTAAACCCTAAACCCTAAACCCCTAAACCCCTAAACCCCTAAACCCCTAAACCCCTAAACCCCTAAAACCCCTAAACCCCCTAAACCCCCTAAACCCCTAAACCCCTAAACCCCTAAACCCCTAAACCCCTAAACCCCTAAACCCCTAAACCCCTAAACCCCTAAACCCCTAAACCCCTAAACCCCTAAACCCCTAAACCCCTAAACCCCTAAACCCCTAAACCCCTAAACCCTAAACTGTGTAAATCCATGTCTTTTTTGCCATGGGTCACCCCCAAACCCCAAGCAAGCCCTGAACCCCAGGAGCTGCTTGAGAAGAGTTATTACCCACAAACCGTAAACCCTAAAACGTAAACCCTGAACCCTAGACTCTAAACCCTGAACCCTGAACCCTAAACCCTAAACCCGAAACACTTCTAATTGGTAAAGAAGTACCATGAACCTCCCAGCAGGAGCTGCTGGAGAAGAGCCGGTCCCAGCAGAAGCATGGCGGCAAGCCTCCAGCTCGGCTCGCGGTGAAGTGCAGGACAGGGTTTAGGGTTTAGGGTTTAGGGTTTGGGGTTTAGGGTTTAGGGTTTAGGGTTTCAGGTTTAGGGCCCTCACCAAACCCTAGACCAGAAACCCTAGACCCTAAACCCCAAACCCGGCACCCAAACCTCTCAAACCTACAAACCAAACGCCGAAGATGCCCTTCAAAACCCCAGCCCTAAGCCCCTCACATCTTGAGCAAAACCCTAAACCGTAAACCCTGTATCCCCGTTCAATCCTGAAGACCTGAAAACCTCTCAAAGCCCAAAACCCCCTAAACCCTTCACACCTTCTAGGAATCAAACAAACCCTAAGACCTAATCCCTAAGTCCTAAACCGTAAACCCTAAACCCTACACCCCACAAGCCCTATAAACCCTACAAGCCCTAACAAGCCCTATGAACCCAACAAAACCCTCTAAACCCTTCGCACCTTTGAGGAAGTAGATCCCAAAGCCCTAACCCTAAACCCTAAACCCTAAACCCTGAACCCTAAACCCTAAACCCTAAACCCTAAACACTAAACCCTAAACCCCCAAAATGCGCGCAGGACATGGCAGCGGCCCCTGCAGCGGTCTTCGCTGCCGCAGTGGACGCAGCAGCTGCTGGACGAGTCCTCCACGCCTGCGCCGGCGCCTTGCTTTTTGTTTGGGGTTTGGGGTTTAGGGTTCAGGGTTTAGGGTTTAGGGTTTAGGGTTTAGGGCTTTAGGGCTTTAGGGCTTTGGGGTTTAGGGTTTAGGGCTTGCAGGCTTAGGGTCTTGTTTTTTTTTTTGTTTTGTTTTGTGTTTTTTTTGTTGGGGGGGGGAGGGTTTAGGGTTTAGGGTTCAGGGTTTAGGTTTTGGGGTTTAGGGCCAGGGTTTAGGGTTTATTAGGGTTTGGGGTTTTGGGTTTGGGGGCGGGGTGCATGTTGGGGGTTGGGCTCACAGGGATTGGCCCTAAACTCTGCAAAGCCCGAAAGGCGCGAAATCCCGATGGGATCGTGTGTTTTCAGGCTTTTCCGATTTCTGGGTGTTGAATTTTGTGGTAGGGGCCTCAACCCCAGAACCCTAAACCCTAAACCCTCTTGACAAGCCCCTAAGGTCAGGGGTTGGAACGTTGTCGCGGCTCTTGGGGCGCGTTGGGGGTTAAGGGTTTAGGGTTTGGTGTCCTAAAGCCTGAGCTTAAACCCTACACCCTCAGAACCCGAAGCCCTAAGCCCCCCAAACCCGGTCGGCTCCTCCCACAGGCCAAATCGCAGTTTAAGGAGCTCAGGGGCCTGGGGGGTACAGTTCAAGGGGTTCAGTAAGCCCCCAAGACCCTATTACCCGAAAAGCACCCCGAAACCGGCTTGCTTAGAGTTTAGGGTTTGGGGTTTGGGGGTTTGTGGCTTAGGGCTTAGGGCGCACTCCCAAATTTTGATGGGACAAGACGGAATGCTCCTCATTCATGTCTGTGGAGATCTGGGCTTGCGGAAGGTACTTGAGCAGGCCTCCTCTTTGCCACGGTCTTCGGCGGCCGCACCGCTCCGCCACAAAACCGAGGTGGGCGAGCCCCCGTAAACCCTAAACCCTAAACCCCAAGCCCGAAACCCCAAAGCCTAAACCCAAACCCCCCAAACCCCCTAGACCCCCTAGTCCCCTAAACCCCAAACCCCTAAACCCTAAACCCTAGAACGGGCAGGTTCCCAAACCTTAAGCCCTCAACCTGCAGGGCTGGCCTGCGAGAGAGCTCCACCTGTCGTTCCTCTAATCATGATCAGAGTATCTGCGAGGGGTATAAAGGGGGTACCTCCCACTTTTTGGAAATGCTCATTGATTTTTCGAGACCGAGGCTGCTAACTCCCGAAACGCCTGAACCCCGCCCCCCGCCCTCTCCCCCCCCCCCCCCTTCCCAAGCCTTAAATTCTAACCTTAAACCCTACAAACCCTAAACCGTATCTACCCTTATACCCCAAACCCGAAATGCCAAACAAGACACCAAATTTTTAAGAGCCATTCCCCTCAACCATCCAACACGCTGCCCAGGGTCGGCGGACCTCAAACCCCGCACCCAAGCTCAGACCCCAAACCCCAAACCCTCAACGTCCCAAGCCCCAAACCCCAAACCGCAAGTCAAGCCCCAAACCCCAAGCCCCAAACCCCGAACCCCAAACCCCAGACTCCCAAGCAGGTGGGCCCCACAGAGTTCAACTGTGTGACCGTGGCCCAGCTGCGGAAGCTGGCCGAGGCGTGGTTTGGTGGCGCTGCGTTGTCTAAACCCTAAACCCCTAAACCCTAAACCCTAGACCCTAAAGCCTAAAGCCTAAAGCCTAAACCCTAAACCCTAAACCCCAAAACCCTAAACCCTAAACCCTACAAAGCCCTGAAGGCCCCGAAGGCCCTGAAGCCCTGAAGGTTTTGGGGTTTAGGCACCTGGGAGGGTTTTCAGAGTTTTGGGCCTATTTGGGGAGGCTCAGGAGGCTGAGGCGTCGCATGGACCTTAGGGGTTTAGGGTTTAGGGTTTAGGGTCTCAAGGGTCTCAAGGGTTTAGGGTTTAGGGTTTAGGGTTTAGGGTCTCAAGGGTTTCGCGACATGGTCTTGCACTATGTAGGTGTAGCTATAGATGGTGAGCTCTAAAAATGATATGGTCCCTTTGTTGGGTACCCTCAATATTCGGGCTTGCCTTAGTTTTGGAGAACTGACCACCTGGCTCCAAACCCTGAAGCCTAAACCCAAGCCTCATGGGGATTCGACCCCCCGCCCCCCCCCCCCCCGTGGAGGATGTGCGCGCCCAAGTGCAGGACGAGAGGGTCGACATGTACCAGGCCGTAAACCCCCCGCCCTACAAGCCCCAGAAACTCTATATACCCTATAAACCCTATCAACCCTATGAACCCCACACACCCTGTACACCCCCCTAAACCTATAACAAGTACTGTGAACTATATGAACCCTTCGGAGTCTTGAAGCCCTCTAGACAGTGTAAACCTTTTAAGCTGCCCTTTCAGCTCAAAAGCCACTAAGCACCTAAACCACTTCAAACAACCGTGCTTCTCTCCCTCCACCCTCCCTCCTCCCTGCTTCCCTTCCCCCTCCCTCCCTGCTTCCTCCTCCCTTCGGTTGATCTCTTCCCACTGTGGTTCATGGTGGGTGCGGCGGACGCAGACAGTGTTCATAGGGTTTACAGGCTTTCCCACAAAGGTTTCTATGGTGTATAGACGAGTGGTTTTTGGGGTTGATAGCAGGGTTTGAGAAAGCACCCCCCCCCCCCCGAGGTGAACGACTCCCTGGTGAAGCCCGCCTGCCAAGCCCACCGGAAGCCCTACTCACGGATCCTGAACCCGGAGGGGCTCGGCGTCGAGTGCTTTGTGACCCACGCTTGGAAGGAAGGGTGTAGGGCCGTGTAGGGCGTGTGTGGGTGAGGCTTCAGGGTTCAGGGTTCAGGGCGTGGAGTGTAGGGTCGGGGTGCGGGGGCTTAGGGGTTGCAGGGGTGTAGGGGCTCTCTCCATATTTCGTAGATATTTCTATATATATATATATATATATATACACACTACAGAGAACATCTAAGCCTCGCAGCTATAAAACCCCCAAATTTTGCCCCCTAAACCCTAAACCTCTGAACCCCAACAGTCCGAAACCCCTAAACTGCAGAAGCCCCAAGGCCCTATACCCTTAAAACCCCTGAACCCCTGAAGCCCCTAAAGCCGTTCACTCCCAAAGATCCCTCCTTCCCTAGACCCCCAACCCAAAACCCCAAACCCAAACTCCAAACCCCAAACCCCAAACCCCGACCCCTAAGCCCTAAACCCCTACGGGCCCTACAGGAAGAGCTGCTGAAGTTTGTTCGATCCATCGAGTTTTGCTTTGCGCACGCGCCCGAGAAGCCCAACCTGTGGCCAAGCTCTCCTTTCGGTTCTTGTGGGTTTAGGCTTTGGGGAGAAATAGGGTATGTAGGGTTTTTCGGGTTTAGGGTTTTAGGGTTTCAGGGTGTCAGGGTTAGAAATTTTAGGATTTTTCGGGTTTAGGGGTTTTAATGGCTCAGGTGGATTTGCATCTTCGCTATCATTCAGTCGGACAACCCGTTGGACTTGAGCGAGCAGCTGGGAAGCGATCCCGCCCACGCGCCCTTCACGGAGGCCCTGCAGCGAGCCAACAGGTACCTCGTCGTGCGCAACGACGCCGTGGACGTCTTCGCTCGCATCTGGTGCTGCTGGGAGCTGTACTGCGCTGCCCAAGGTGGGTTTCTGCAGAGCGACCGGTACATCGTCACTGGACCAAGTAGGTTTCCCAATCCCGAGAACTGGGACATCGGGAAGGCGGACGCGACGAACTTAGAGGACAAGCGCCTCATCATGCTTGCCGTGGCCAGCAATCAGGAGATTTACCACACCATCATTGAGAAGGCGGTTCTGATTCGGAACCACCATGTCCCAGAGGAGGACAGCGAGAAGTGTGGGAACCCTGCACGATGGATGTCAAGAAGCCTGGGCAGCCAAAGCCATGCGGCTGCGGCACCTGTATCGCTGTCCCGACATGCCTCGGCATGATGTGCATGGGGGCTCAGGCGAAGACTTTCTGGTAGCCCCACTTGGAGGTTCCTGGGTAGTTATAGGTACGGTGATAAGTACCCCAAAAGAAGCAAAACCCATATACAACTATAAGTTGCCCTACGTGTAAACCTACGTAGATCTACCCATGAACCCACACCCTAAACCCTAAACCCTAAACCCTAAACCCTAAACCCTAAACCCTAAACCCTAAACCCTAAACCCTAAACCCTAAACCCTAAACCCTAAACCCTAAACCCTTCAAGCACCAGGCACCAGGCAAGCAAGTAACCCCCCAGCGTGCGGAAGCCTGGTGCTGCATCAGCCAGTACCAGGGCTTCCAGCGGATGCGCCAGGGGGGCTACTGGCGTTTTATCAGCATGCCTTTAGCTGCTTCCGGGATCTGAGTTTAGGGTTTAGGGTTTAGAGTTTAGGGTTTAGGGTTAGGGCTGCTGTGCCATCCCTTGTGATGCAAGAGTCGCTTTGGCTAGCATTTAAGACCGAGATCCCGGCAGCAACGGTGGCAGCTGGAGTTAATCAACGTGTACGCCAGCCTTGCTGCTGCCCAAGGCAGAGGGGCTTTGGCAGTTTAGTTAATACCCGGGCGCGGTATGCTTGCCGAGCAGGTGCGAAGAACCATTGCCTTAAGCACATCCGTACGTCGACGTCACTTGACACTTGACAACACTAAGCCTCTTGCCCTACTTGGATTTTCATGCGTACTTATGGGTAGGGTTGCAAGTAGGGTAGGTGTGGTAATATCGGTTTTTCTCATGGCTTGAGCAACATGTTTTTCATCAGGTCCCAAGCAACTTAAACCCTAGAACCCCAAATCGTCTGCAAAACCCTACACTCTACCCTAAACCCTCAACCCTAAACCCTAAACCCTCAACCCTAAACCCTACACCCTAAACCCCTCGAAAGCCCTCAGCTTCCTTTGTTGCTTGGGCCTCTGCCACAAACACGCCGAAGGCACGAAGCAAGCTCCCACGTCCTAAGGCGGTTTTCTGCTTTGAAAGCCATACGGGCATCTCCCAAACAGGGGGTGCCCCCTAATCCTGAACCCCAAACCCCAAACCCTGAACCCTAATCCCCACTAAGCTCTACAAACCCTAAGCTCTACACCCTGACTAAACCGGGCAGTTCAGGCTGGATCTTTCGAAAGGCTGAAAGTGTTTTCAAGGGCTCTAGGGTTTAGGGTTTAGGGTTTAGGGTTTAGGGTTGTTTGAATGTTTAAAGCGCTGGCGGCGGCGGCAGCTGGCTAAAGGCTGCTTTCAAGAACCTTCAGGGTGTGAGGAGCTAAGGGCGTATGAACTTTCAATCACGGGAATCATGCTTGGAATGTTGAGGATGTACCCTTAAGAGGTTCCCTTTAAGGTTTAGGGTTTAGGGTTTAGGGTTTGGCTTTTTGAGGTTTAGGGTGTTTAAGGGCTATATTTTCCGGAATTCAAAGTCCCCATGTGGTAGGCAGCTGGTTGCCCTCATCTTGTAGTTCGGCATTCCTTTCGGTACATGGTGGAATGGCGGAGCAGGACAAGAAGTGGTCGAGCACGGCGGACAGCTACGTCCGGTACTTTCAGCCATCGTCGCTTCTGTGTGGCCGGCTGGTGGCAAACGGGCTGCAGCTGAACCACGTGGGCCCGCTCAAAATCATCGAGACCGGAGCGGGCACAGGGGCCTTGGCCAAGGAACTGCTGGGCCTGGATGGGGTCGAAGTCTTGGAGTACTGCTGCTCGGACATCGCTGAAGGCATGGTGGAGAAGGCCAAGGCGACGCTGGCGGGCATGGTCGCCCGAGTCGAAAAGCTGGACTGCGCGGCGCTGCCGTACGCCGACGCGAGCTTCGACCGCTACATCTCGAACTGCACCTTGCACTACCTGCCTGATCCCTATCTGTGGATTAAAACGAGCCCTTCAAAAGGTTTAAGGCCCAAGGGCCCATATGTACATTGCTAGAGATTATGTTGGGGGGGAGTTGGGGGTGGGTTTAGGGTTCAAAGGGTTTATAGGGATGATCCCAATTCTATATAGCTGTAGGTAAAAACCAGAAAGCTGCAGGTCAAGAGCGTCCCAGATAGGGTTTAGGGCTTAGGGTTAGGGTTTAGGGTTTAGGGTTTAGGGTTTAGGGTTTAGGGTTTAGGGTGTAGGGTGTAGAGTTTAGAGTTTAGGGTTTAGGGTTTAGGGTTTAGGGTTTAGAGTTTAGGGTTTAGAGTTTACGGTTTAGGGTTTAGGGTTTAGGGCTTAGGGCTTAGGGTTTAGGGTTGGGTTTAGATGATATCGAAGCCTGAGGATCCGGCACCCGCCATCATGGAGGCCGGCCGCGTTCTGAAGCCAGGCGGCCTCGCTGGATACAGCGTCTGGGGCCACGCGGAGCATCTTGAAGACGACCTCTAAAGGACCCCCCTCCCCCCAAAAAAAGCAAAGGGTTTTGGGTTTAGGGGTTTAGGGTTTAGGGTTTCGGGTTTAGGGTTTCGGGTTTCGGGGATGTACCTTTCACTCACGCTTGCTGCTCTTAAGCACGCATGTCCTCCCCGAGGCAGTCGCCGCTCATGACCATCGTCCCGGACGTCCTCGACTCGCTCGGCCTCGAGCGAAAGGACCCGGCCAAGCGCTCGAGTTTCCATCTCGGCGACGATGACGAGGCCACGCGCCAGTTGTTCCTCGCCAACGGCTTCTCGAAGTGCGCCATCGTTCATTGTCCCCTCGTCATGTCTTACTTTGACCCCGACCACTACGCCGAGGTTATCATCGATGGTGCCAACAGCACCAGAACCAAGATTCAGTCCTTCTCTCCGGAAGACCAAGCTGCCGTCCGCGAAGAAGTCAAGCGGCGGGCAAAGCTCGTCATGGACCAAGGCCGCGGCATCGCGCTTGATGTCGCCGTCATCGTCGCCCAGCGATGACTCCACGTAGGGCCTTTAGCAAAGCGGTCTACGTAAAAGACTTCTGATACGCAGTGTGTGTGTGTGTGTGTGTGTGTGTGTGTGTGTGTGTGTGTGTGTGCGTGCGTGCGTGTGTGTGTGGGTGCGTGTGTGCGTGTGTGTTAGGGTTTAGGGTTTAAGGTTTAGGGTTTAGGGTTTAGGGCCCTTCAACTTCACTTCCGCTAGCGCACCCTGCAAACATAGTTAAAGATTACTCCTCACAAGGGCCTTTGCATTCCCTTAGAGGATCCTGAAAAATGGGTCCCCAAACCCAAGGGTACAACCTCAAGGGTCCGAGGTAGAGAAACCCTAAACCCTAAACCCTAAACCCTAAACCCTGAACCCTAAACCCTAAACCCTAAACCCTAAACCCTAAACCCTAAACCCTAAACCCTAAACCCTAAACCACACTGCTCATGATTCCAGGGCGGCTTGTACTGTTGCCATGCCTCCTCCGCCACTCAGCTCGAGATGTGGCCTTTGCTCACCTGCGGGTGTGGCGGCCCGGCGGCGGAGGTGCTTGGGGACATTTTGCCCTCTTGAGGGTTTAGGGTTCAGGGTTTAGGGTTTAAGGTTCAGGATTTAGGGCCTAGGGTTTTTCGGGTCTGGGGTTTAGGGAAAATTTAGAGTTTAGGGTTTTGTAGGGCGTCGCTAAAAAGGTCAACGTTGGGTCTGAGCACTAGACGGGTACTTGGACCGCCTGGTTACCGCGGGATCATGGCAGATCCGTAGCCGCTCACGCCCAAGACCCTGCAGTCAGGTATGCTTGGATGTTCATGGGTGGTGTTTTAAGTAGGAATCCAGGTACGGTAGCCATGACTCTAATAAGTCATGACCTTATTTGAAGGGCACATATGACCCCTACTTAGAACTCTAAACCCTAAACCCTAAGCCCTACACCCTAAACCCTAAACTACCCATGAGAGCGCCTCTCAAGGGGTTTAGGGTTTAGGGTTGCTGTTCAATAACCTTGTCTCCAGTCCCACCTTGTCACTCTTTTTTCGCACCTTGGTCTCGGCGTCGTGGTGGTCTTCTCCTGAGAGGTGACCTTGAGGAGTTGCGTTCCCCTTTTGGCTTGGGGTGTGGAGATCCTTGGAGGTTCATGGTACGTATTAACCAAGTATAAAACTGTGCTTATAGCTGTACTTCTAACCATATTAGGGCACTTAAGGGGGCTCAGAAGTGGGTTATAAGTACAGTTAGAAATGTTTAAATACGTACCATGCACCTCCAAGTAGATCCTTGAACGGTGCCAGGCATCTTGCTCTGCGCTGGCCTGGCCTGATTGCTCTCGATGCTGCTTTCGGGGGCTGAATTGCCAGATGTGCGAAACCCTAGACCCTAAACCCTAAACCCTAAAGCCTGATCCTCCTAGCATTCGCACACCTCAATGATCAGCAAAGAAACCGAAGCAAGGAGCAATTGGTTCAGGGTCTCACGTTCTGAACGTCGTGCACCCTAAACCCAGGCTTGTAATGCGCTGAGGTGACGAGGTTTGGGACGGGTCTGAGTGGCGGTGCATGAAGGCAGGGGGCACAACGAGCGGGGCAGAGGGAGGGGTTGGGGCGGAGAGGAGAAACAGTTTGGTCCACAAATGCCGCCACCGGGGGGCGGGGGAGGGGGGTACCCATTCCCAGCAAACATACCACGTAAAGGGCTGGAAACTTCATCGCAGTGCTGGGGATTAGAGGTGTGCTTTTTTTTCCCTGCCAGCCCGCCCCTTTGTTGTGCGAGCCCTTTCGGGAAACCCCCTTGTCCCTAAACCCTACACCGTAGACCCCAAGTCCTGAATTAGGAGCCTCTTGCGATGCAGGTGCCGATGTACTGCTGCACCGAACCCGAGAAGCGCGACGATCTCCAGGCTCCGATGTTCGGAGCCCGAAGCCCCCCTCCAAACCCTTGGTTAAGAAGCCGACGCCCTGCACTCTGGGTAGATTCCTTGCTTACAAACACTACACCTTAAACCTGGCATGGTTTCCTTCTGAGACCTGGGCGATTCTTGAGTGAAGAACCCTCGTCCCCATACCCTAGGTAGATTCCTCAGGGCCAAAGCCCGAAACCCCTAAACTCTCGGTAGGCTGCGAACCCTGAACCCTGAACCCTGAAAACCGAAACCCGAAGCCCTAAGCCCTAAGCCCTAAGCCCTAAGCTCTAAGCCCTAAGCCCTAAGCCCTAAGCCCTAAGCCCTAAACCCTAAACCCTGAGCCCCCAACCCTGAACCTCCAATGCCCTGCGCAGCTGGAGTTGGATCCGCAAGGAGAGTTCCTGGGCCGCCAAAAGTTTGTTTTTGTGGGTTTAGGGTCTAGGGTGGAAGGTTTGTTGTTGTCGGTTTAGGGTCTATGGTCTAGGGTTTAGGGTTTAGGGTCTAGGGTGGAAAGTTTGCTTTTGTGGGTTTCGGGTCTAGGGTCTAGGGTGGAAAGTTTGTTGTTGTCGGTTTAGGGTCTATGGTCTAAGGTTTAGGGTTTAGAGTCTAGGGTGGAAAGTTTGCTTTTGTGGGTTTAGGGTCTAGGGTCTAGGGTCTAGGGTTTTGGCTTTGTAGGGGGTGGGCGTGGAGGGCATGACCTTAAGAACCCAACTCCTACTCCTTGCAAGGTTCTTTTTGTAAATATAGCACCCCAATACGGTACCCCTAAACCCCAAACCCTAAGCCCTAGACCCTAAGCCCTAAGCCCTAAGCCCTAAGCCCTAAGCCCTAAGCCCTAAACCCTAAACCCTAAACCCTAAGCCCTAAGCCCTAAACCCTAAACCCTAAACCCTAAGCCCTGAGCCCTAAGCCCTAAACCCTAAACTTAAAACCCTAAACCCTAAACCCTAAACCCCTCCCTGGGTGGCCTGCAAAGAAGTACGGTGGCCGCGGTAGGCTTTGGGTTTTGTAAGGTAGGCCGGGTTTCGGGTTTGTCGGTTAGGGGTTTAGCTTGGGGCTTAGGGTTTAGGGTTTAGGGTTTAGGGTTCGGGGCTCCTTCCTCAACACCCAAAGCCCGCAAGGCCAGTAATGCCTGCAAACCCGAAGCCCTAAACCGACCCGTAACCCTGAGCCCCTAAACCCCCTAAAGCCCCTCTCCCCCCCAAACCCCCCAGCTCCCCCCCTCCCCCCCCCCCCACCCCAAACCCCAAACCCTAAACCCTAAACCCTAAAGTAAACCCTTAACCCTAAACCTTAAATCCTAAACCTTAAATCCTAAACCCTAAACCCTAAACCCCAAACCCTAAACCTTAAATCCGAAACCCTAAACCCGAAACCCTAGACCCTAGACCCTAGACCCTAAACCCTAAACCCTAAACCCTAAAACCTAAACCTCCGCACTCCCCCCTCGAGGCGGTTTTTAGAAGTTCGAGGGCGCCCTGCCACAGCGCTGCGGGCCCACACCTTCCAGGCTCTCCCTCGTGGGCGTTTCCTTTCCCAGTTAGTTTTGGGGTTTAGGGTTTCGGGTTTCGGGTTTGGGGTTTAGGGTTTAGGGCTTAGGGCTTAGGGTTTCGAGTTTAGGGTTTAGGGTTTGGGGCTAAGGGCTTCGGGTTGAGAGTTTAGGGCTTAAGGGGGCACCTTATCGGATCCGACTCTTCGGGGGCTTCTAGACTCGGGTCCGCTACTATCGCAAACCTTTCTGGTGGGCTTCTTCTCACTACTCTTTGGGGACCCGGCTTCTGATCTTGTTTCCGGGACCGGGGGCCGGAGTCGGTTTTTTTTAGGGTTTAGGGTTTAGGGTTTAGGGTTTAGGGTTTAGGGTTTCCGGGCTGAGTTCTCGTCTTAAGAGGTTCAGGGAGTATTTCAGGGGTATCTTGGCGGTTTCTTGGGGTAGGGTTCGCGAGTCAGGGCTCATAAGGGCTTGCAGATTTTGGACTTCACAAACCCTACACCCTAACGCCCTCAGAACCTAAACCCTAAACCCTAAAGCCCTAAAAGCCCTCAACCCTAAAAGCCCTAAACCCTAAACACCCCAAACCCCCAAACCCAGGGCCTGGGCCTAAGACCACAACCCTACTTGGGGAGGTTCATGGTACTTATTAACCAAGAATGGCTGTACTTCTGACCCGCTTATAAGCCCCTCAAGTGCCTTAATCTGGTTATAAGTACAGATATAAGTACAGTTATGACTGGTTAAGAAGTACCATGAACCTCCCAAGTAAACCCCAGCCTCGCTGTAATGCCAGCAGGTGGACGTGGTCTACGAAGGGCGCCGCCTGACAAACTCTACAGTCCCCAGAGAGCTCAATTTTCCCCCCTAAATCCTAAACCCTAAACCCTAAACCCTAAACCCTAAACCCTAAACCCTAAGCCCTAAACCCTAAACCCTAAACCCCAAACCCTAAACCCTAAACCCTAAGCCCTACACCCTAGTTCCTAAACTCTATACCCTAAACCCTCAACCCACAACCCCTTCATGAGGGGTTTAGGGTTTCGGGCTTAGGGAGCCCAATTCTCCGCGAATTGAAGGAGAAGTCTTCCATTACTAAAGAGATCTAGGGTTTAGGGTTTAGGGTTTAGGGTTTAGGGTTTAGGGTTTAGGGTTTAGGGTTTAGGGTTTAGGGTTTGGGGCTTAGGGTTTAGGGAACACTAAACCCTGAAGCCCAAGCCTAAACTAAAGGGACTCTACCGGGAACCCCGAGCAGAAACCCCAAGAAATAGAGTAGAAGTATAGCAGGAATATACCTAGCAGGGTCCTTACATCATACCCCCTTTCTATTCCTACTCTATTCTAGTGTTCCCTATTTGGGGTTCCCATTAGGATCCGTTTGTGAAGCCTACACCCTCAGCCCCGAAACCCAAACCCTAGACTCTTAACTCAAACCCTAAACCCTAAACCCTAAACCCTAAACCCCAAACCCTAAACCCTAAACCCTAAACCCTAAACCCTAAACCCTAAACCCTAAACCCGAGGGAAGCTGGGGGTGCAGCTGGATTCGTGCGACTTGCACCGGGGCCTGATGGCCCCCTGGACAGCGGTTTAGGGTTTAGGGTTTAGGGTTTAGGGTTTGAGGTTTGGGGTTTGGGGTTTAGGGTTTAGGGTTGTGAGTTGGGCTTTGGTTTGCGTATTTAGGGTGTTGGGGTTTAGGGCTTCGGGTTGCAAGGCGTCAGCAGGGGCCCTTTCCTGTTCGGAAGGTTTTTTGCGCAGGACCCCCTCTCCCTCCACGATAACCAGGAACCTTGTGCAGAACCCGCAGAACCTACATTGACTATGGCTCCTCTGGGTATGTTCTTGCTAGCTGTAGCTGTGGAGTTGGGCTTCACATGCTCAAAACATGATCTAAGGCACCGCACACTCCTACTTCCAGGCACGCAAAACCCCTAAACCCTGAACCCTCAACCCTAAACCCTCAACCCTAAACCCTAAACCCGAAACCCTTAAAAAAGGGGGCACCCTTAGTAAGCTCAGGTGAAGGCAGTCCTGGAAGATGGGCTGCTGGCCGACTGGAACCGTGCGCATCCCGACATGCCCGTGATCCCCTACGCTCCTTTGGCTGGTCTTTAGGGTTTAGGGTTTAGGGCTTAGGGCTTAGAGTTAAGGGTTTAGGGTTTTAAATACTTAATCCGCTCCCAACTATGAACCAGTTAGGGTTTAGGGTTAGGGTTTAGGGTTTAGGGTTTAGGGTTTAGGGTTTAGGGTTTAGGGTTTAGGGTTTAGGGTTTAGGGTTTAGGGTTTAGGGTTTAGGGTTTAGGGTTTAGAGGACGGTCTTGGACCTTAGGCCAAACTTGGCGGGGTGTCACTAGGGTTAGGGACTCCCAAGCCCGAACCCCCAGGGTTGTACCTTGGACCTTAAGGGGCTTTGGGGACCCTTTTTGAAGGTCTTCAGAGGGAATCGAAGGGCCACGTTAGGAGCACATGAACCTCTTAGGGGTACATCCTTAAGGATGAAGCCCGCCCTTTTCGGGTTTAGGGTTTAGGGATTTGGGTTTAAGGTTTAGGTTTTAGGGTTCAGGGTTAAGGGTTTAGGGTTTAGGGTTTAGGGCCTTCATGGCGTCGGGGGGAAGTTGAGGGGTTTGGGCTGTGGGCCGCTGGTGTCCGGCATATGTGTCGGTGTGTGAAGAGCTGGCCAAGCCGTAAGGACAAGATCTTCGAGGTGAACGGCGAGGCCGTTGGCGTTCTTCCTGGGTCGCACTTAAATCCTGTGCCCCACCCCCCCCCCCCCCCCCCCCGCGAAACTCCCAAAGCCCCAAAAGCCCAAAGCTCCTGACCCCTACAGCCTAAGCTGTAAGCCCTAAACCCCGAGGCAAGGCAGAGGCAAAAGCCCAAAAGCCGTCAGGCTCTAGGTTTTAGGGAGCATTTGGGTTTAGGGCCTTTAGTGTTTAGCGGTTTAGGCCTTTAGGGATTTAGGGCTTTAGGGCTTCAGGTGCTCGTAATCTTCGTTGAGTCGTTGATGCTAGGACCAGAAGATCGTGCTTCGCTGCCAGCAGTGGTAGTGCCAACGCATGTGGGGGTCCTGACGGGCGAAAGCGCCGTTCAACACATCTGAAATTTCTCACTGACATCCGCGTCAGATAGCCCATCGAGGCAATTTCTCTCGAAGGGCGCGAAGTCCCCGAGTCATTGCTAACTCGTAGTCAAATCAAAGCCCTACACACACTCCACTAGGCCTACATCTCAGGGTTCGGAGGGATTCAGTCTCGTAGGGCCTTGAGAAGACCTCCGTTTCAGTGTTTGGGCTTTGAGGGTTCAGGGGTTTAAGGTTTGAGCTTCGGGTTTTAGGGTTTGAAATCGGAGGTTTTGGGCTTTTTGGTTGAGGGTTTTGAGGGTTAAGCCCTAAACCCGAAACCCTAAACCCTAAACCCTAAACCCTGAACCCTAAACCCGAAACCCGAAACCCTAAACCCTAAACCCCAAACCCCAAACCCTAAACCCTAAAACCTAAACCCTAACTGCACACAGAAAGACCAAACTGGTCAGAGATCGGCTTCCGCTGCGCAGTAGCAGAGCGCTCACCCACGCCTAGACGATCGCTTCTGCTGCGCATTAGCATCGCAAATACGGCAACGCGGCAGGACGAAGACACGTCGATGCCTGTCCACGTCCCCGCTCCTCTGCGGAAAGGAGACGTGGTCAGGCCCGTCAACGTTCCCATCCCGTCTACAGATAAGTTCAGATGAGGGCTCTTCTTCGCAACATCCCAAACGGACATGAAGTTTGAGCCATTGTGGCGACAAATCAGTTGATCGATCAAAGAGTCGATCCACGACCGACATGCGTGGCCAGCGTGGTAAGGATAAGCCCTTAAGGTTCCAGGCTCCCCATGTATGGCAAGGAAGATATGATTAGCAAAAGGCAAAACTCCAACAACAAACGACGACCTTTTCGGTGGGGTCTGGAAGGTCTGACCTTGATGCTCGAGACACCAAGTGCGCGACATGATGTTCCAGAACTGATTGTCCCATCCGTTAAATCGCGCCCTTGATTTTCCAGTCCGGTCGGAGAGGGTTTCTGAGAGACATGCGCTAGATGTTTCAAACTGCGCGGGTGGGGTCTGGATGTTAAGTCCCTGGTCTGTCAACTTTCAAAATTCATGTGTGCCCACCAGGCCCCTCGGGAAATAACAAGTTTTTGACTTAGCCCTCCTAAAATCAACGCTGGGGCTTTATGGTCGGGGAAGCTTGGGCGACGGTGGGTTTCTAAATCTTTCAAAGGTAAGTTGTGAAAATGAGGTATACTGTCGCCTGCAAAGTTGCTCCACAGTTCACTGCGAAAGCCCGATACAGCCCGCGCCGCCTGCCCGAGCAGCCATATCCCGCAAAAGTGCACCAAACCCCGCAGGCTGAACCGAAACCTTGAAGTCTCAGTCATCACGACTCCTAAGTGATATCCGTGAAGATAGAATTCTGAAGCGTCAAGATAGAATTCTGAAGCGTCAAGCCATTTATCTTTAATTTTACAATGTACGCCCTGCATGTTTGCCCAAGGGTTGCGGGGACAAGAGGACTAGCCAAACTACTCAAGACTCTGGGGCTCTCAAATTTTGTTTTTCGGTCCGGGTCGACCTATTCGCTTGCTGTCGCTAGCTTCTGATGTTCTCAGTGCACAAGAGGAAAGCGTTGCTGACTCGATTTGCACTTACATTTCACCGCGTAATGCCTTCACCTCTGTTCTGACAGCGTTCCGCAGGAATCACGTCAATTTTATCCTGACCTAAGGCGTGCAGCTGGCGGCGCTGTGGCCTTTTCAATGCCAAGTGCCGGTGGTGCTCCAGCCCCTACGTGGGGCTGGATGCACTTATCGTGCACGAAGCGTTGAAGTGTCGCCGGCGGCCGGTGGGGGCCGCGGGAGGGGGTGGAGGAGGGGGTGGAGGAGGGGGAGCGACCCCGCCAAACCCCAGACTAGCCGCGACTAGCCCAAACCCAAAGCCTGAAACCCTAAACTCAAAGCCCTAAGCCCTAAACCCAAATCCTGAAACCCTAAACTCCAAACCCTAAAGTTTAAGCCCAAAGCCCAAAACCCGCAACTCTTGAGCCGTAGTCCCTAAACTCCAAGCCTAAATACCCTAAATCAACTGGGGGGTGCATGCAGTTTTCTTGTTAGGATGCCGTGGCAAATTAAAATTATAGAAGTAGGCGTAGGAATTGCTATTTTAAAACCCCTCACATGTGCCACACAGAATAGCAGCTCGCATGATGCCCACTGATCCAAAAACTTTATACATATATATATATATATGGTCACTCCCCCCCAATGGACCAACCTCGATATGTGAAAGCTCCTGTAGGCACTGTCTGCTGTGATGTGTTCCCGGGCTTAGTTCTTTGGCACGTATTATTGAATCGGTTTGCCTTGTTGTGTGCACTTCTATGACAGTCCCGATTGGATTCAACCCTTGCCCACGCATGTGCAATTGCTGTGTGGGGCAACAAGACTTCGTGCAGGCTGACAATTTCACATGCCGTGGTAACACGGACTGGCGAAATCATCGTTCAGGCACCCTTGCTTTCCCCCAATTCTAGTGATGGACGTGCTGCATCGTTGGAACTTATGAAACAAAACAAGCTGTGTCGACTACTGCCCCACTATTGGTACTACTTCGGATGAACGTGGAAGCCTGCAGAAACCCACGACAGCATAGCCTGCTCAGTTTGCGGCTTACTGAGCCGAAGTGACAACTCGGCGCCCGTCATGCAGTTTCCGGCATCAGCAACCCAGGAACATCGTAACCTTCGGAGAAGAAGTTAGGAATGAAGCATAAGGAGTGAGTATAACAATAGAACCCTTACAAGTCTACGTTCTACTCAAAATATAAGTTATCTATTCAGAGAGCGAAAGAAGGACACAAGGTTTAGCAACATACTCTGCATTTTGGGTTCTTTGAGTAGTATTATGCGTAGCGCAAAAAGACAAGGAAATCATAACTAGCGAGCGAATAAGAGAAGGAAGCAAGCGAGCGCCCAATTACTTGTTATTTGTGCCGTTCGTTTCTTGCAGGGATTGTGGGGGCTGTCAGGGCACTGCTCTTCATTAGAGCGCACCATGGTGGAGATCTGAGCTGCTAAATCCGCCTGCAAACCCCAAAGAATCTAGACAAAGACATTTACCGACCCATGTGCAGATGATGTCCAAGGCTGGAGGTTGTCGTACCAAATCCATATAAGCTGCACGCGTGTCCCACAAGACAGTGAGCCAGCTGTGAGGTAGAGGGTGCGCCGTTCCACTTGCATTTGTGGCCAGGCTCACCATGCAATGTTTAGAAATCGCAGAAAACTAGCCGGCCAGCTCTCCACATAAAGGCTCGGCCACTCACCAATCCACAGTATCTCCGTGACAGCCAGGAAACGCGTGGTCTACACGCTTGCCGAGTTCCTCGCTGACTGCATACACACAACAGACATCGCGCGCACTAGGGTGGGGGGGGGGAGAAGCATAAGGGGGAGCCAAATTAATTAGTGCTATACTAGACGCTTCAGGTTTCGTTGACGGCGGTCATGTGGCACCGCTTTTCCTGGCCAGGCTGGGGGCCATTGGCCACGCCAGCCTCGAACAAGCAATCAGAAGCGTGAAGATCAGTGAAGAAGAGGCAGGGGCTTTTGACTTGCAAGCGAGTCGGCGAAAGCAAGGCTGCTCGAAGTTGTTCCATCGACAGTCTCTTGAAGGACCCACAGGCTCAGTTGTGGTTGCGCGAAGTGTGCGTGCTGTCACAAGCGCAGCGCTCACGGCCCTGGCCTTGGCCTTGCTCCCATGATTTGCCATGCAAGTGTGATTCATTGCCGATGAGTACTTGCCTTTTCGCAACTGGTGTTTGCCGATGCTCCCCCGCATCCTTGTGCCTAGCCGTTGAGGTTTCTGGGCCGAGAGATCAAAAGCTTGAAGCGGACAGTGCATACGCTCTCCGAGGCAGATCTCGCTTTGCAAATGCGCTTGTCTCACTCGCGTCCCGAAGCCTGTGAGGGTCGGCTCGTTGTGGATGCTGGTGTGCACACACTTCAGTTCCACACCCTGTAAAGGCAAACGCCCTATAACCTATACTCAAATGCTCTGTGCTCCGGCAGTTGGTGCTCTGGCGGCTCCCGACCCTGGAGCTCTGGCGGCTCCCACCCGTGGCGCTCTGGCGGCTCCCGCCCCTCGTGCTCTGGCGGCTCCCGCCATAACAACTGCCAGGAAAAGTTTTGTCCCACGGATAGCAAGTGTCAGGAAAAGATCTGTCCCACAGAGAACCAATGTCAGGAGTGTTTCACAGATAACAAGTGTCAGGAAAAGATCAGTCTTTTCAGGTCCTTGCGTGCGAAGACAAAGTGCAACTGGGGATGGCACTCTCTTGGGCATGACTTCATTGCAAGCACCTAGACCGGTGCAGGGGTTCCCCCCCGAAAACGCTCTGGCGGCTCCCGCCACCACCACAGCGTCCCCAAGGACGGGTTCAGGGTTCCCACCATAAGAGTTAGAGGTTCCACCCGGCGGGGGTTCAGTTTCAGGGTTCCCGCTGGCGTAACACACGAAAACCCCCACCGTCATCGCCATCATCATCACCATAATGATGCTGATGATGATCAGCAACCTCTACACATGCATCATGCTTCTCACGACTGTTTTTTTGTTTTGCTGTGTAGATGATATACACTACCATGGCTTTTGGATTGTGTGAAAAACCGTATGTGTGTTATCTTGAACTCCGGGCGATAATCGTGGGCAAGCCAGTCCTGAACCCGCTGCTCACTCTGAAGATGCCCTAAGCCCTAAACCCTAAACCCTAAGCCCTAAGCCCTAAACCCCTAAACCCTAGATCCTAAGCCCTAAGCCCTAAGCCCTAAACCCTAAACCCTAAACCCTAAACCCTAAACCCTAAACCCTAAACCCTAAACCCTAAACCCTAAACCCTACGGGTTCTCGGCTTAGGGCTCCGATTGCCCGTGGACAGGCAGGCTCGGCCGAGGTTCTCGAGGGCCGCATCGCTGCCTCAGGCGCTACGGGCTTAGGGCTGAGGGTTTGGGGTTTTTGGGTTTAGGGTTTAGGGTTTAGGGTTTAGGGTTTAGGGTTTAGGGTTTAGGGTTAGTGGCTAATAGTATTCCCTTATTGTGGACTTAGGGTTTTTGATGCATCTGATGATATACACAGTTTCTTGTAGTGTTGCAAAAATAGATATACATATCCAAGAGATGTTGTCAGCAACTGGAAAATTCTGGAAATTAGGGTTTAGGGCTTAGGGCTAGGGTTTCGGGTTTGGGGTTTAGGGCTTCCGGGCTCAGGGCTTTGGGATGTTCAGGCCTGAACCCTGGGTTGAGGCCCTGGGTTTGGGCCCTGGCATACCGCGTGGCGACCCTTGTTCGCCTTTTTTTCCAGAGTTTAGGGTTTAGGGTTTAGGATCCCTCAGCATCCCCAATCCCACCCCCCGTCCCCCAAAAATGCCCTAAAGTCCCTTCAGGCCCCACGACCCTAAATTTGAAATCAACCCGTAAACCCCCCAGCCCCCTGCAACCCCTCTAAGCTCATCTCCGAATGCACGCTCTGTGAAGAGTTGAGGCCGTTTCCGGGGTGATCTGGAGCAGTCCTCATTGCCAAGCGCATAAAACCCTGAACCCCACTAATCCCCTAAACCCCCAAACCCCCAAACCCTCAACCCCAAACCCCAAACCCCAAACCCTAAACCCTAAACCCTAAAACCCTACAACCCCCCTAAAACCCCCCCAAACCCCCCTTAAAACCCCGCAGGCCGAGACCTGTGCCTGACGGTGCGGCGACCGCAGGTGCGGGAGATGCTGCTCCAGCGGACTGGCAGCCGCTTCTCCCAAGGGTTTAGGGTTTGGGGTGTAGGGTTTAGGGTTTAGGGTTTAGGGTTTAGGGTTTAGGGTTTAGGGTTTAGGGTTTAGGGTTTAGGGTTTCGGGTTTAAGGGTTAGGTTTCGGGTTTAGGGGTCTACGGGTCGAGTGTTGCTTAGGGGTTTCGTGCTGTTGAGGCTGTTTTGCGCTGTTACTTGGGATGTTCACCCTTACTAACAGTCCTTAATAGGGATTGTAGTACCCCCTAGTAGAATCCTAATTAAGGACGGTTAGTATCAGGGGGAACATCCCAGCCCTAAGCCCTCAACCCTAAACCCTAAACATCCCAAGCTGGTAGTATCAGGGGGAACAAGATGTTCACCCTTATACTAGCAGTCCTTAATAGGGATTATGGTGCCCCCCTTGTGTAGTCCCTATGAAGGATTGTTAGTATCAGGGGGAACAAGTTTTAGGTTTAAAGGCGTTTGGTTTTTTTGGGTTAGGATGCGGCGTTTTCGATCTCTGGGCTGAGGAGTTCGCGGGGCTGTGGAGGGTTTAGGGTTTGGGGTTTAGGGGTTAGGGTTTAGGGTTTCTTATTCTTGCACTGACGATTACAACTAATTCATTATTGCTGCTATTCCTACGGCGTATGCTGATTGCTACGAGCGGCATTCGTTGTCAAAGACACGAAGCCTTGCTGCCCAAACAAGCCCTGAAACCCGAAACCCTAAACCCTAAACCCTAAACCCTAAACCCCCAAACCCCTAAACCCCAAACCCCAACTGACAGCACCCAAAAAAAACACCCTGAAGCCCAGGAACCTAAACCCTGAAACCCCCAAACCCTAAACGAAGCCCTAAACCCTAAACCCGAAAACCCTCAGAGTCCTAAACGGCCAAACACCGACAGCGCCGACGGGCCCAGACTCCCCAACCCTGCTGACTGGTTCTCAGGGTTTAGGGTTTAGGCTTTAGGGCAGAAGGAGTTTAAGAGGCATCTTGTATCCCCCCCGGCCCATACCCCTTCAAGGCATGAGTTCTAAGTCGGGTAAGGCACCCCTATATCTCTCAGCCCTGAAACGCCTCCGGAACCGACATCTTTGGTAGGGGTTTGAGGCTTTTCGAAACCCACAACCCAAAACCCAAAACCCGAAACCCTAAACCCTAAACCCGAAACCCTAAACCCTAAACCCCCAAACCCCTAGGCCCCCAAACCCTGGGAGGCGAGCTGGTAGGGTTTCGGTGGCCATTTTGCCCTCCCGAGGCTTGGGTGTGACGCTGCTCTACAAGCTCCTGGGACCAAACTACGCAGCAGCGGAGGGAGAGCCCGAGACCCGAAACCCTAAACCCTAAACCCTAAACCCTAAACCCTAAACCCTAAACCCTAAACCCGAAACCCTAAACCCTAAACCCTAAACCCTAAAACCCTGCAGCCCTAAACCCTACACCCGAGACCCTAGGCCCCAAGCTCCGTCCCTGACTAAGTAGTCATGCATTTGTTATTTTGCGAACCTATCCGGGGTTGATATGCTGATTGGAAGTGAAACGCAGAAGTGTTGTTTAGAATCAGTCAAATAAGAGGAGAGCATGTTGTCAGGAGTAAAGGGATCTCACTCAAGTTGAAGAACCCCCCGCATCTTGCGCAAGAGCGCCAGTTTAGGGCTTAGTCCCGGTGTGACGGGTTCAGGTCGTGAGCGAGGGGGGTTTAGGCGTTTGAGTTCAGGGGGGTTCAGGGGCTCAGGGTTTAGAGGTTAGGGCTAACCAACCCCCAATCCAAAAGCCCTAAACCCTAACTAAAGCTCGCGGGCGAAAGGACGGAAGGGCATTTGTCAGTAGTCACGCGGCCCCGTGAAAAGAGGAACCCAAAGAGCCCAATACCTCTTAAATAAGGAAGTATACCTTAAATCATATTAAGGACCCTTAATATGATTTAAGGAATATTCCCTTAAATCATATGGGGATCCTTAATGTGATTTAAGGTACATTCCTTAATTTAAGGGGTATTGGGCTCTCTGGGAAGAGCTTGGTTGGGAGGCGGAGGGACGAACACTTCGTGGCCGGTGTGGCCGAAGACCACAGCTTCCAAGCACCAGAAAGAGCGGCAAGACCACTAAGAGGGTTTAGGGTTTAGGGTTTAGGGTTTAGGGTTTAGGGTTTAGGGTTTAGAAAACAACAAAACCTTCCCTACACCCCGCAGGCTAAGCCCCCCTCAACCCAAAACTCAAAACCCTCAACCCTCAATCCTACGCGCCTCAGGAAGTCTTCCGTAGGGGTGGTGGTCAACGAGTTCCCCAGATGGAATCAGCTTGGGTGTTGGGGCTTGGGGGCGCACTTGGAGGTTCATGGGTAGTTCAAGGATTCTCGATCCCACGAACCCGTTTGGATTCTAGGGTTTAGAACCTTAGACTTTAGGGTTTAGGGTTCAGGGCTGCTTGACGGTTCATGGGTAGTTATAAGAAGGGTTGTATGTACCCTAAGTAAGGTTCCCCTACGTATGAATACCCATGAACCTCCAAGCAAGGGTTCTGCAAAGGGGGTGGGTGGAGTCTATTTAAGGGAGTAGAGAGGAGGGACCCTTATCAGGGACCCTTGGGGTTGGATAGGGACTATGAGGCCTCCTTGGCATATAGAATAGGGCTCTAGAAACTAGAAAAAGGGTTATTAAAGGGAACTATCCCCAGGGTTTACATCCTAATCTTTCCCGGAGCCTACTGTCTTTTTGGTGTGTCGTGTTGCGTGGTGGGATTTCGTGATTTGGTGCGGAGTTCACGAAGGCACCTCTGGAGCGTTTTGCCCGCATATCTGCTGGCGTGTGTGTTTGCTGTTCGGTCTTTGAGACTTCTGCCTGGGCCTGCCTGAAACCCTAAGCCCTAAGCCCGAAACCTTGAACACCCCCCTGAAACCACATGGTGGGACCCCAAATCCTGGATCCCAAATCCTGGACCCTAAGCCTCAACCCCTTAACGCAACTCTGCCCCTGCCCGAAAACGTCTACCCATTTCGCATGTAGGGTTTAGGGACGGGTGCTTAGGCTTTTAAGCACCTTGAGGTTTAGGGTTTAGGGTTTAGGGTTGGACAGCTTCAGGGTTTGGGCTTCAGCAGACGAAGGATCCTTCCAGACGGCGTCATCCAGGAGTGGTGTCTCGGCGTTGGGTCTCAGAGTTTGTTTTTTTGGGAGTTTCTTTTTTTGCGCCAACTCGGGGGGGGGGGGTTTGAGATTAGGGTTTAGGGTTTAGGATATGGGGTTCTCAAGGGAGTAAAGGAGGGACCCTTCGAGGATACCATCCGCCACTTTGTTAGGGAGTGTCTCGGGCCTGTTGGTCATTTTACGTCACTCATTGTTCGTGCCCGAAAACAAAAACATGAGGTGAACAAGTTTTTTTTTGGCTTTTCGTGCCCGGTACGAGGGTGGGTGGGGGGGGGGGGGGAAAAACAAGAAACATGAGATTAAAGGTGTTCTTTTTCTTCTCTGGCTGTTCGTGCCTGAAAACAAAAAGCAAGAGGACAGACTGAGGTTGGGGGACAGGGCTTGCCGGTGAAAAACTAAACTTTCTTACAGTTTTGGGATTCTCTGGGTGGGTGGGTTTTTCTCTAGAGTCGAAACAGCGGCTCTACTAGAGATTGCTCGACCAGGCGCCGCTGAACCTTAAACCGTAAACCTTAAACCATAAACCCGAAACCCTAACTCAGGAAGGACGGCCCACTGTCACCCGAAGCCTTTACCCCTGAGCCCGAAAGCCAAAACCCTACGCCCGAAGCCCTGAACACCTAATCTTAACAGGGTTCAGGGCAGGGTGAGGCCTAGGGTTTCGGGTGTAGGGTTTGGGGTTTAGGTTTTAGGGGTTTGGGGTTTAGGGGTTTGGGGTTTAGGGTTTAGGGGGTTTACGGTGAGCCCGCAAGCCCCAAAGTTCTAAGAGCCAAGGAATGATGACCACCCCACTCAGCAAGTGGTGGCCGGTGACCGGGTCATCGCTGTCGGGGGTGAGCAGATGAAGGCGGAGGACCGCTCCTTTACCACCCTGGGTTTAGGGTTTAGGGTTTAAGGTTTAAGGTTTGGGGTTTAGGGTTTGGGTTGGGTTTTCTTTCGGGTTTAGGGCTTAGGATTCAGGTCGAGGGTGCCCTTTTACAACTAGTCAAGGGGCAAAATCCCATAGAATCCCTAAGCCCTTTTAACCCTAAACCCTACAACCGCAAACCCAAACAAAAACCCTAAACCCCCAATCAAGGATGGCAGGGGGCGTGTCATTCTTAAAGGTTCAAGGGTAGATATAAGCAGGGTTCTAAGTACCCTGAAGAAGGTTCTAGCGAATTATACCTATATAGCTACCCTACTTACAAACCCACTTATAATAGCACCAAACCCTAAACCCTAAACCCTAAACCCTAAACCCTAAACCCTAAACCCTAAACCCTAAACCCTAAACCCTAAACCCTAAACCCTAAACCCTAAACCCTAAACCCTAAACCCTAAACCCTAAACCCTAAACCCTAAACCCTGAACCCTGAACCCTGAACCCTGAACCCTGAACCCTGACCCTGAACCCTGAACCCTGAACCCTGAACCCTGAACCCTGAACCCTGAACCCTGAACCCTGAACCCTGAACCCTGAACCCTGAACCCTGAACCCTGAACCCTGAACCCTGAACCCTGAACCCTAAACCCTAAACCCTGGTTTTTGTGTGATTTTGCGAAGGGTGGAAGGAGACGCTGGGTTCTCGGAGCTTTGCACGACAAGAATGTAAATTTCCGCACTGGAGGTTTCGGGTTTAGGGTTTAGGGTTCAGAGCAAGGAGGGGCTTTGTTTTGCCTTGTGTTAGGGGCTTGGGGTTTTGTTCAGATTTAGGGTTTAGGTTCAGGGCGGAAGGTCCAGGATTCATGGTTTAGGGTTCAGGGCTTGGGGACTCGGAATTTGTGAAGGTGGGGGGAGTTCCGACTGCGTGAAGTGCGTGCCAGGACTTGTTCAAAAGGTGGCAAGCTGAGCTGCTGAACAGTTGCCCTAAACCCTAAACCCTAAACCCTAAACCCTAAACCCTAAACCCTAAACCCTAAACCCTAAACCCTAAACCCTAAACACTAATGGCTAAGGGGTGTTATGTAAATCAGTCTGAGGCTCATCTCGCGTTTTTGGAACACCTGGTCGGCATACACCTCCAGCCTGAATGGGTTTAGGGTTCAGGGTTGAGGGTTGAGGGTTTAGGGTTTAGGGTTTAGGGTTGAAGGTTTAGGGTTTAGGATTTCGGGTTTAGTTTTAGGAATCAGCTGCGGGCGAAGGAAACAGAATATAGCAAGCCCCCGGCCGCTTGTTGCTCACACGGCGGAACACATTCAAATCCCAGACCCCAAACACCCTAAACCCTAAACCTTAAACCCTAAGCCCTAAGCCCTAAACCCTAAACCCTAAACCCTAACCCTAAACCCTAAACCCTAAACCCAGAGCCCTGAAAACCTTCAGGCCCGAAACCCCAAGCGTCTCGAAGAGCTCACTTGATGGGCTGAAAGTTCGAGCTTTAGAGTCTTGACAACTTTGGACTTCTTATTTTGGGGTTTGGGGGTTTGGGGGTTTGGGGTGGGTGTTGAGGGGTTTAGGGTTTAGGTGTTCAGGGTTTCGGCTTCGGCATTGCAGGCCCTAGATGCCAAATCAAGCCTTACGTCATACCATAATGTCGCACAAAACCCTAAACCCAAAAACCCTAAACCCTAAACCCTAAACCCTAAACCCTAGTTACTCAGTTCCCATTCGATGCTTTGACCTTAACGGCGTGACAAAAGCAAAAGCTACCCTAAACCACCCTTGACCATGGATGGCCCCGCGAGCACTAAACCCTAAAACCTAAACCCTAAACCCAAAACCCAAAACCCAAAACCCTGAACCCTGAACCCTGAACCCTAAACCCTAAACCCTAAACCCTAAACCTAAATCCTAAATCCTAAAGCCTATCCCCTAAACCCTAAAGCCCAAACTCTAAAACGGACCAAGGTTGACGCAGGACGACCCGTTGGAACTCGTGATCTTGCACTACGACCAGGACACCTCCTTCTGCTTCGGCCTGGATTCCTAAACCCTCCTAAACCCTAAGCCCTAAATCCTGAACCCTAAATCCTGAACCCGAACCCTAAACCCTACACCCTAAGCCCTAAACCCTGAACCCTAAATCCTGAACACAAAATCTTAAAACCTGAGCCGCTCAACTCCAAAGCCTACATGTCTAGAGGCTCGAAAAACCCTAGGGTCAGAGCCACTATGACCAGGAGATACCCTAAATCCCCCTTCTCCAAAGCAAGCAAGGAACATGGGGTTTAGGATCTAGGGTTTAGGGTTCAGGGTTTAGGGTTTAGGGTTTGGGGTTTAGGGTTTTTGGGTTTAGGGTTCAGGGTTTAGGGTTTAGGGTTTGGGGTTTAGGGTTTAGGGTTTAGGGTTTGGGGTTTAGGGTTTGGGGTCTAGGGTTTGGGGTTTAGGGTTTAGGGTTTAGGGTTTAGAGCTAC